GGTTCCAGAGGTTAAGAAGCAATGTGCAAACATAAGCTGCATCCCTTGCAGTGAGTTCATGGGCCCAAACAACACGAGCACTGTAGAAGACTGCACATTGGGAAGAGCCCCATGCCTCACATTGATTCAGGCCTCTAATTCTCTCCTAAATGAGTTTAATAATGGAAACATGATCACTGTATCCATTCAGCACTGCCTTTTGGATGTCTAATGAGCATCTAAAAATGAGTGTGCCCTAAACTGACTTGTGATTTCCCCACCCACCCCAAATATTAATAGTTCCCTGTCTCATCCCAATGCTATATCTCTACTGGTTGCAACCTCACTCTTCCAGATGATGTAAGTTAAAATCACAAAGATATTCTTTATTCCTCATTGTACTATATATCCCACCCTGCAGTGTCATAGAATCAGCTGTTTCTCAGATGCTCAGGACACCATGGGTCTGTACACCCCCATGCCTTGCCTACTTTGTTGAAGTCACTTCCCGAGGTATCTTGGTGTTCCCGTTTTTTTCTCTTCAGCCCATTCTCACCCCAGCTAGTGGGAGATGAATAAATCATTAGAAAAGTCATGTCTCTCCTCTGATAGCAAAACTCCAATTACATTTTTATTTTACATAAAATAAAATTGCCCGTGACTCCTGTGGTCTTAAAATCCTTCCCCATTTGTCCTGGCTGTGACTTACCTCATTATCTCTCTGAGCTCCTCCTCCTCTGCCATGTTACATCCAAGTCTGTCTGCCCCTTGTTCCTGAAACACTATCAGAATCTTCTGTGGAAGAGGAATGACTGGTTTTAACTGACTATAGTTTCTTGTGTTGTTTACTAGATTACTGGATTTGTTGTGGCTTTGACTAAAAAGGGGGGTGACTTCCAAAAATGGAATATCAAGCTATTTCAGATGGCTTAACTGAAATTTCTTGCAAGGAAGTAACCCCTTAATATTTCAGGAATTGCATAGTTTATCTGGATATGACATTGACATAGTCTAATTTCAAATGTGTTTAATGGTTTTATTGAACTTTGGAGCTCATAGTCTCTCTCAGTTCTCCTTTCCCTATTATTCTATAATGATAGGAGATAATAGCTTCTGCTTCTCCTTTTTGCCTTGTCTTTAGAGAAGTCATGCAACCAGCACAGTCACTGGGTGTAGTCTTTCAAATGCAGAAGGTTTCAAAGACAAATATTTACCTCTACCCGTAACTGGGACTAGAATAGTCAATACTGAGAAGCCTTCTTCTTTGAAAGGGATTATCATCTGGGTTCTCTCTGCCACTGTACCTTTGTATTATGAGATGTGGCTCAGGACACTCTCAGTCTTCTTTTCCTTCGTAGCAGGTGTTTGTTCGGGGCTGAAGGTGACCGTTCCTTCACACACTGTCCACGGCATCAGGGGGCAGGCCCTCTACCTCCCCGTGCACTATGGCTTCCACACTCCAGCATCCGACATCCAGATTATATGGCTGTTTGAAAGATCCCACACGATGCCTAAATACTTGCTGGGCTCCGTGAATGAGTCAGTGGTTCCCGACTTGGAATACCAGCACAAGTTCACCATGATGCCACCCAATGCGTCTCTCCTCATCAATCCGCTGCAGTTCTCGGATGAGGGCAATTACATTGTGAAGGTCAACATCCAGGGAAATGGAACTCTGTCCTCAAGTCAGAAGATACAAGTCACCGTTGATGGTGAGTACTCTGTGACCTTAGAGAGGAGGCTAGGTCGAGTCAGCAGAGGCTGGGGATGCCAAGCTTCCTGGGCTTTAAAGTCCTGGCCCTTTCCACTCTGAGTGAATTAATGCTCAGAGTGTCCCTAATACCATTACTTGCCTCATACTGAGCTTTAATTTTATAAGTGCATAAGAGAGGTGCCCAGTGCACAGCAACAATCCTTCAAGCAATAAGAGAAACTTACTGTTTCTTAGGACTTATGTATAAAGCTTCTGAAAGAGTGAGATAGGGACATTTTATTTTCTGGTTTGTAGGCTATATCCTGGGGAGGCTCCTATTTCTAATCACATGAAGATTTTTATTTGGTCCAACATTTAAAGGAAGATGAGTCAAGGGCTTTATGTAAGGACAAAAGAAGTTTGGGGAAATGTTTCCTGAGGGAGACTAGAGTTAGCTAACTTTCAGGCATTTTTTTTCTTATTAAAATTTAGAAGTGGCAGACCTTGAACATACTGTGCACAAGATTCAATTTCTTATTTTTCTGTCTCCTTTTTTGACAATATATCTCATTTTAGTAAGTATTAAATTGGTTCTATTACTTCCTCAGGCCCAGGCTTCCCATACATCACTGACCCTCCATCTTCTCATAGTCTACACCCAGTCTGCAAGAAAGCCTCATTGGCTAACCTTGAAACTGACTCCAGCTGCTTTCACCTATCCTTTACCACTGCCTTGCTCATACCTCTGTCTCCAAAACTGCAAGCCCTGGCCTCTCTGCTCCTGCTCTCCCATCCTCTAGCTTCCTATTGCACTCATAATGGGAGTCAAAATACTGACAACAATCTTCAGGGCCCAGCATACCCACAACCCATCCGATCCCATTCTCCCCCTCTGACCACTAGACTCTGTTCTGACCACACTGGCCCCTTGCATTTCCTTGAACAAGACAAATACACTCCCATCTGGGGTCCTTTGTTCTCACTCTTCACTCTATCTAGGCTGCTTTCATTCCAGATATCACTTCCTTTATTTCTTTTAGACACCATCGCATTGTCATATCTGTGAAGCCTTTTCTGACCACTCTTCACTCTGTACAAAATAGATCATCTTAGCCCCAAAACTCTCTCTCTCTTTCTCTCTCTCTCTCTCTCTCTCTCTCTCGCTCTCTCTCTCTCACTGTTCACTGTCTTCACTCTCTGTTTATTGAACTTGCATTGAACTTACCATCACCTGTAAATAGTATCTGTATTTAATTGTTAATGCTTCTCTTCCATGAGTAGAACATGCGGTCTGTGGGGAAAGGAGCTTTGTCTGTGTCCTTGGGGCTTTCTTCTCACTGCTCAGACTGCACTGGTCATAGCAGACTCAGTAAGCCCTCTCAGTAAAGAGTCAGGTGAGAGATAGAAGAGGTTGCAGGGGACTAAGACAATGGCTGTGGGATCAGATATCTGCAAAGTGATTGTAGGGAAAGTGAAAACATAACTAACAGTAATTTTCATAAAGTTCTCCTGCAACAGTTTTTCATACAAGTTTTAATAGCACAGCTCTTACCTGTGTATTCTGTAACATTGGATTTGTTCAGGGAAATGAAACCAAACAATGAAGTAAACAGGCTGTAAGAACCTAAGCAAAACCTTTTCAAAAGGGAAACCAGGTTTGTTCCAGGCAAGTGTATGATATGGATGACTATTCCAGTGATTTGCTCTCCTCAGTTACCTACCGTGTTGCTTAGTTACCTCATATTATATACGTCCTTACACAGAGATGTCTGAGATGTTTTCAAATATGACCACTGTGCACAATTCATTTTTCTTTTGAAAACATAAAAGCACACACAAAATGCTATTGCAAACCCTTTGCTCTTGCCAGGAAAGACAAAGGATTGAAATAAGTGAACAAACCAGTAGACAACATCCACCTTGAAAAATGTCAGACATTCCCAAGTTGTTCAGATCCCCTCCAAGTTGCTTCCACCTCGTTTTTCCTTATCTTTCATTTGCTTCTATCTCCCCTGGGCTGGGGAATAAGGTCTGTTTGCACCCAAATGCAGTTTCCATTATAGAAAAAAATGTAATGACAATACACAATAAATTAGTCTGAAAAAGATTCAATGGACACTTGATGGGCAATCAAAGCCTAAAGTACTGAATCCAGTCATGGGCTACCCATGTGTTACAGCATTAGCCTCTCTCTGCTCTGTGAACTTACAGAGATAGAGACGAGGAATGTCTATCTCTCCAAAATGCAGGAAAAAAAATACATTGACAGGTGTTAAAGGCCTCTTCTCTTTGCCAGTGAAGGCTGTTAATGCTGATGTCTTTGTCTTATGTCTGTTACCTGTTCATTTAGGTGGGGTGGGGCAGGGGCGCCCAGACTCACCAGCATACCTCAGACCACATATGGAGGTCGGAATACAACCTGCTAGAGTAGCTTCACCCCTTCCACCATGTAGGATCTGGAGATCAAACTCAGGCTTGATAACAAATGCCTTTACCACTGAGCCATCTTGCTGCCTCACAAGTCGCTATTTTATTAAACAGGGTACAGGACTTTGAAGATTGATAATGTTTGCTGACATGATAGTGAATACATATGCAATTACCAACTTTATCCACGTACTTAGAGCCAAAAGTCAGTGAAAAAATACTTGTGTTCCTCTATGTTTATCCATTTGCCTACTGAGCACCACAGTTATAAAATAAAGCTTGCTTCTTATCACTTCTAACAGGAATTTCTATTGGATTTGCCTTTTATATTTCAAATTTAATAAAATCTCAGTGACACATCATGCCCTACTGTCAAATTGATTCAATGTTGACTGAAATGTAGACTTTAGTTTGCTAATAAAATTGTGTATATGCCACTCTTCAAAAATACCCCTACACACTTTCAAAAGTATACCATACATGAAGTGTATAATTTAGTTTTCAGATGGTGTATAAAAATTTGAGGTTGCCACGTCCCTTATTGCCATGTGCTTTGGGTACATTACTATATATATATATATATATATATATATATATATATATATGTGTGTGTGTGTGTGTGTGTGTGTGTGTGTACCTTCACAGCAGATAAGCATCTTCCTAACTTGCATGAGCTCTTAAGTTCAGAGAGAGAGAGAGAGAGAGAGAGAGAGAGAGAGAGAGAGAGAGAGAGAGAGAGAGAGAGAGAGAGAGAGAGAGAGAAAGTTTGATGGTAGAGAAAGCATGAGGAATAAGAAAGTGGAACTCTGGCCTTTCAACCGCTAACTATATAAAAAGTAAATAGATTAATTGTCAATACTTGGATTCAAGTTCTAGAATTTCATTAGCTCTACCTGTACAAATATATTTCATATTTTACCATTTTTAAATTTCTGTGACTTTTAAAGATCCTCTTTAACTGTTACTCAAGCTATCTACATTTAAAAATATTAAAATGTTGGAATCATTTCACCAGGACTCAATATTGGAAAGGCTTCTAGAGTTTTACAAAAGAAACACCTCTATGCTCTTGATATTGCAGATCCTGTCATGAAGCCTGTGGTTCAGTTCTACCCAGCTTCTGGGGCTGTGGAGTATGTGGGCAACATTACCTTGACCTGCCAGGTGGCAGGGGGTACCAGGCTAGTTTACCAGTGGCGAAAAAATGGGAAACCTGTTTGCATCAACTCCAGCCACTCCCTTTCTCCCGAAAACAACACCCTTTGGATTGCTCCAGTGACAAAGGAGGATGTTGGGAACTACAGCTGTCTTGTCTCAAACCCCGTTAGTGAGATGGAAAGTGACATCATTATGCCCACCATATATTGTAAGTAACTTTTTTTTCTTGTGTCTATATTTATGGAAAAGTCTCACAGGGGTAGGCATAGATATTATCAGCACTAGATGTCATTTGGTCTTTTACATTATTGTAGCTCAGCCATGTCACCTAAGCATCGTCTTGTTGGGAAATATGTCCACTTACACAACTTTACTTTTTAAAGATTGAGTTGATTCTAACCATTGAGTGATCTCATGTGCAGTGGAATTCTCAATTCCAAGGATCCAGTACCACAAAGAGGAAATGATAGGAACCCAGGAATGGGATGTGCTCCCCACCATTTCTACACTCAATCTTAGCCAAAGGCTAAGAAATGATTCTCTGGTTTCTGAAAGAAAGGTTCAGGAAGAATCTGCTCTGAGCAATCTCAAGTGTTTTCCCAAGAAAATCATTAATTGCTCACATTGTTGACATTGAACCTCATGTACAAATAAAATGTATTGAACTCTTCAGTTTGTATCATGTCACCATCACAACCTCAAACAAGGTCCCTCCTTTTCCTTATTCTATTCTTTTTCTAGTCACTGAGGAGCCTACCTCTAATATGATTGCTGTTTATTTATGTGTGTGTGTGTGTGTGTGTGTGTGTGTGTGTGTGTGTTTAGGTGTGTGTTTAGGTGTGCACATGCCACAGCATGCCTGTAGAAGTCACAGGACAACTTTTGAGACTCATTTCTCTCTTTCTACCATATAAGTCCTGGAGGAGGAAAATCAGATTGTCAGGCTTAAAAGAAATCTGCTTTACTCACCGAGTCATCTTACCTACCTTCTCATATGCTTAATGTTATATGGAGAGTTTAGTAAAGCACGGGGTTTGTTAACTTTTTAGAACAGGGACATTTGGGGGCTAGATACCTCTGCGGTGGGACTGTCCTGGACAATTTAGGGTACTCAGAAGCGTCCCTGTCCTCCATCAGGGCATACCAGCACTAACTAAATACAAAGACAGGGAACATTGCTTCTTACTGAAGAGAAGCCTCCTTTCCTAAAGTGACATTTGGGTGAACATGCAAGAGTGAGCATGGTTGAGCACATGAAGGGTCTGGGAGACCATCACAAGCCCAGATGGCAACAAGAGACCAGACACAAGAGGAAACAAACATGTTTTCAAGGGCTAAGGCAAATCATGGTTTGTTTTGTTTGCTTGCTCATCCGTTTTAGAGACAGCATCCAGTTCTACATCCCAGGCTGGCCCGGTACTTAATATGTAGCCAGGGCTCGAGGTTAAGGTCAGCCTCCTGTGTACTGAGATTGCAGGCATGAGCCACGGTACATGATTTGTATTTAACCGTGGCAAATTATTTTTAAGGTTTAATTCATAAGCCTTAAAGATTTTCAAAAGCCTTTTCAGAAAGCCTTGTGGGAATGTTCTGTCTGCTTCTAAACCAGAGGCAACAGATTCACAGAGAAAGCATAAGCTACAGCAATGTTGCAGCACTGGTGTAGAATTGTAGGGAAGACTCTGAAGCGCTGTAGCTGATTTATATGTGTATTTCTTTACTAAGCAAGTTATTATGACATGAGTTAATTCAAGTAGCACAAACCTAAATATGTGAGCTGTGTAAACAAGGGGAAAGAAACTATGAGCAAACAAACTGAATCAAAGGTAGGCCATGTCCCCAAGATTTTCTTGTCTCAGCAATTATCTATCATATAACCTAGAAGTACAAACCTAGGCTCATTATTAGTTTCTTTTGCTATCAGGATTTCAGCCCAGTTTTATCATTTGTTTTTGTTTTGCTTTGTTTTCTTGGTTTCAGGTGACAAGGTTTAAATAGCATGCATAAAGGTTTGTCGCTGATTTTCTATTGATGTGGCATCAAGGTGTTTGCAGTTTTCTCATTCCATGTACACTTGGCACATTTTCCTTGTTTGATGCTATTCCCCAATGCTCCATTTGTCTGTAATCACCCCTTTTCCTTCATTAGCTCCTACTGAAAAGCCCATCTGTCCTGGCCTGTTCTCACCTCCTCAGTGTCGCTAAGAAATTCAATTCCCTGTGCAAACACAGCATCCTGTACATGTCTGTCTCTAGTCCTCACTACAGCACTCTTCTCCACTCTATGTACCAGTACAACAAACTCTCCTAAGAGCTCCACATTGCTTAAGCATCTTTAGTTTTATAGGGCAATACTTGACACTGTTGGTAACCTGACTAAAAGAGAATAGTCTATTTTGTTCATATCATGCTTCAGATCCGACTTTTACTCCATGGCTCTGTGGTCAGACAAAGATCGATAACCAAGTGTCAGTTCTAATGTTCTCTCTTAGATATCCACATCATGATTTAGAAGTCCATCATAAATCATCTATTATGCTTTCATTGTTTCCATGACATTTTCTTCATGCAAAGTAGGCATTTTTTATTGCTAGAGAAAAGTTATAACAAAATCTATTCAGATTGATTGTATGTTCATTGGGTCATGATGTCATAATCTAGTGTTAGCCTTGGTGGAATACAATGCCAAGTAAAAAGTCAGCAAATACCTACTTATGGTCTACAAAATGTAAATGCTTTCTAGTTCCAACTGTAAATAACAACCCAATAACCACTACTTTTTGTGTGAAACACATGGCACTGCTGCGGGGAGTACGCTAAGTGATAAAAATTAAAGGGAAAAAAGGTCATTTACAGTAAATACTTACCATCTGCTTCCTTGCAGGGTGGCCAGCAGCATCATGATGGAAACTTAGGTACTGTTCCCACCCAGTCATAAATTGTTAAAGAGAACAGATGATATGTGATTTTACAAGTCATTTAGTAAACAGCCATCCCTAAGGCAAAGAGTTCATTTCCATTGAGAGTGTTCTGCCAAAGGCAAGACAGTGAACCATAATCCAAAGCCAAATGGAGTTATCCATCTGCTTTTATCTATATCAAAGGCCGCTCTAGTACAGCCACTCCAAATGTCTCCTACAGGGCTGCCCTTCACTTGAATAATGTGTCTGTATTCTACCTCAAAATAGAGGAATGTTCCCTTTGAAGTGCTGAAGTGCTAACCAGTGTATAGAAAATAACATCTTCACAGAGTTAAGGGAGAGGAGAATGTAAACAGTGTGTACAGTGTAAGATGAAATTATGTGCCTGTGTGTTTATGTGTGTAAGAGGGAGAAACAGACAGACACAGACCCAAGCACAGGCACAGAGAAAGAGGTGAGGGAGGAACAGAGTAGGAAAACAGAGGGGGTGGAAGAAACTAGAGAACGAGACGATTATACAGACGTTGGCTCTCTAGGAAAATTAAAGGTAACTTTTTGGGAATGGAGAGACAGCTCAGTGTTTAAGAGCACTGGCTGCTCTTCCAGAGGACCTGGGTCCAATTCCCAGCACCCACAAGGCAGCTCATAACGGCCTGTTATCCAGCTCTGAGTGATTTGACACCCTCGTACAGACATAAAATACAGGCAAAACGCCAATGCTCATAAAATACAAACTAAAAATAAAAAAGATAACTTTTCATTGGTGTGCTTCTCTGCTTTATGACTTTTGCAATGAGCATGCATTTCCTTTTTATAACCAGATAAAATAGAAATTTGATAAAATTGTATCAGAAGTAATGAACTCAAATGCCTCTAAGTATTAGTTTCTGGGAATTGGAAGAAATGCTTAGCAGGGATGGTGTGTAGAGGACGGAGAGGTGTGAAACTGACTATGGGGAGCCAGATATACAAGGAAAAGAGAAAAGATAGTGCCAACCATGAAAACCCCAAAATAAGGAAGTAGCCAAATCAACAGGCCCGAGGAGAGAAGAACTCTGCATAGTCAGCTTCCAAAGCATACTTTATTTAAAACTAGTTATTTTATTATTAACTATTGACTTACTAACTGTGGCTCTAAATGTGGACTTCCTCTATAGCGTCAACCCACCCTCCAAGACCAGAGAAATGCTATTTGTGGGAACACTCAAATACATTGCAAGATCTTAAGACAATTCCAAGGGAGAGTTCCTCCCAGAGTTGTGACGAAGATGGGCATACGTCGAAAGGCTCCACAGTCATTCACATGTGAGATCATGTAACAACTTGCTTTCATAGGCACATTCTGTAAACTTGGAAGGCAGTGGGAAAATCAAAACAGAAAGACCCTATTTTTATGATCACTCTTGTGTTCTTTTTCAAGCCTGTGTTGCTAGCCTCTAAAACGGCTCTCAGATTTTACATCATGCACATGACCATAGATCCCCATGCCTTGAATCCACACACCATTCCTTCCATCGCTTTTCTTCAGTTGAAACAGTGGCCCCTGGCTATGCTGTCTTACATCTCATCAGTGCTGGCAACCTGAAGGAAGAGCCCATGCTGCAGCACAGAGCGGAAGACACAGTCTTGGAAGCCATTTTTTCAACATCCCAATTCCTCCCATGATGCCTAGAACAGTATTGTGCATTAAGTACACCGTGATGTTGTTGTTGTTTTTCTGAATCAGTAGAAGCAACGTTTTGTTCCTGACGTACTGCTCACTCCTTAGCAGAGCTCAAAATACGAGGTCTTAGCCCCTTGTCACAGTGACTTCTCCCGAGACTGCGTCATAGCCCGAAATGAGAGGGCAGTGTGGCAAGCCCTAGGTCACTCACAGAAGGGAGCACCCAGGCTGCCTCATTATCATCATCTATCTCCATTGTCTGGTTGCTTTAAATTTGAAATAAGCCAGCACTCCATATCTATGCATTTTACATCATCAGATCCAGACAAAGTCAAATTGAAATATTAAAAAAAATCACACCTGAACTGAACATACACAGGTGTTTTTTTTTTCACATCATCTCCTAGAGAAGCATAACAACTGTTTATAGAACATTTACATTGTATTCTGTGTTATAAGTAATCTAAGCATGCAAAAATCTCCAGGGGACTATGTGTAAATAGTATACAATTAGTACTCCATCTTCTACAGGGCACTTAAGCATTCACAGATATGTATTTCCAGAGTGTGTCCTGTAACTACTCAGGATACCAAGGACTAAGTTAGCTTTGGCTTTCTTTCTGATAGTAGGTTTACTGGCATAACTATAGTGACCCAACACTGTGGGGACATTACACATTTCCCCATGTCTTCAGAAAGAACACATGCTGTATAACTAAATATAGTATGTAAAGTAGTGTTTCCAATTTCTGTTATAGCTTATGAAACTTGTCTTCACAATGGTAGATGGAGCAGAAAATGATGGGGGTCTACAAAATTAAGAACGGCTTGCCAATAGCCCCAAATGCTAGAGTATAGCATGAAATTTATCACAATTTCAAATACACAGATAATTTTTGCAGATAGCTAATCCATAATTTTATAGTAAAAGATGAATATATCCCAAAGGTATAAATAACTTCTAAAGAACATGTAATTCATGATTGAGAAAAATGTTCCCTAAAATCTAGTCCTTATATCCCATGACTACATATTTTAGAGACAGTTATTGGCAGTTTTTAAAAATAAAATGAAATACTGAGCACTTTGTTCAGTTTGTAAATTCCTTAACAACGCAACTTGTTTTTGACTATTGTGTTCTAAATGTATTATAATTTTTATAATTACATTATTTCCCATTTTCCGTTCCTATCTCCAACTTCTGCTGTGCACCTCCTTGATCTCTTTCAAATTCATGGCCTATTTTTTTTAATGGTCACAAATACACACACATGTATTTCTAAACACATGAATATGAATTATTTTATACTTATTACCTCTCAAACATTTGCTAACTAAATGTTGTTTGACTAATTATATGAGACAGTAATTTATCATAAAACAAAATGATTAGACAACAATATTCTGATATAGAAAAATTATACAACATAAACCTTATCGCTTTAAGTGTCTCAATACTGCTGTCTAATAGTTATGTGACTATGGGAAATTACATTTAAAAATATTATAATGAGAATAATAACATCTGTCTCATGAAGTTTTTTTCAATATAAAATGTAAGCTATAAGTCTGATTACATAGAGTCCCTTCCCAAGACAAGCGTCTAGCAAATGTCAATTAATGCCAAGTGGAAAGTGAGTGTAGACACGCCCAAAATGACTTAGATTAGAGGACAAACTTTGTATCTGGGAAATATTTTTAATATTTTTCTTATTCTCTACAAGAAACCATATGCAGAATATGTCTTCATCTCGTCTAATGCCATAGGGATTGTCATAGGTGTGGAGTGTGGGAAAACACAGTCAAATAGCCATGGTTAAATAGCTTTTTAATTTTTCAATGACTATCTGTTAATGACACAGATATGTCATTGAGTGTGTGTGTATGTGAGAGTGTGTGTGTGTGTGTGTGTGTGTGTGTGTCTGTGTGTGTGTGTATCCTAAATGGATTCTGTATCTTAGAAGGATTTTTTTAACCTGTTAAAACCTTACAAAAATCTGAAACACCTCTCTACCTATTTGTACAAATCTATAGTCCTTCTGAAACTCTGAGTCTTTGATAAATATTTTCATGACCTGGCATTAACCAGAAAAGCAGACACTTCTCAAAGTATGCTTGGCAAGGAGAAAATGGTATCTACTTGTTATAAAAAAGTATTTTCAAGTGCAACCCCTATTCCAGAAAGACAGAGGTTGCCTAGCAACAGTGTGCATTTATCAGTATGGCACTGAAAAGCTTAGCCCCACACTGATGATGGCAGTGTCTGTAAATCTGCAAACACAAGTTTCAGCCTTTAACTATTATAAACATGTCTGCTCAAGTGCTTCCATTTTTGTGAATTTCAGAATAAAACACACAGAGAGAGATCTAATTAGGGATTTAAACGAGGGCCTATAGTCTCTAGTCTACATGAAGACTTTAAAAGAAAGTAAACTGATACTAAGTTCTTCAAGCCCTGAAACTGTATGACCGTTTACATGACACAACCCTTTTTGCTTTAATACAGATGGACCTTATGGACTTCAAGTTAATTCTGACAAGGGGCTAAAAGTGGGAGAAGTGTTCACTGTTGACCTAGGAGAAGCTATCCTGTTTGATTGTTCTGCTGATTCTTATCCTCCCAACACTTACTCCTGGATCCAAAGATCTGACAACACAACACATGTCATTCAACATGGGCCTCGTTTAGAAGTGGCATCTGAGAAAGTGGCCCAGAAGACCACTGACTACATGTGCTGTGCTTACAACAACATAACGGGAAAGCGAGATGAAACTCATTTCACCATCATCATCACTTCCGTAGGTAAGTGTGTCAAAGTACAAACCTTTATAAAGCATAAAGGCAAGCTAGCCTCAACTTCCCAGATGCCTATGGAGAAGAGAACATATTTTGCTGTTGTTTAAATGGTCTCTTTTCACAGTTAACTAAGCCATGGGTTTGGGGGCTCAAGGAATAAAAACTCAAAACAAAATGGAGGGAAATTCACAAGCCAGCTTCGGGGGCTATGAGGAGTCAGTAAGTTACTTCTAAATGTGTGTTATCACTTTCCTGATTTTGCAAGCAGAAACACAGAAGGAATAGACTTCTCAGTTAAGAGTTTACATATACTGTTTAATTAGGTTAGGAGAACAAATATGGATGAGTTTGGGTCATGGTTTTCCACTTTTCCACTTGGTTCTTGGTCTTCACTGGTTCCTCTTCTGTTTTCATTATTGACATACCTGAAATCAATAGAAATATTTATCAAGAGCCCCATCTGCATGGAAACAAACTTTCTTAAGTTTATAAAATTCAGCATCCTCCAGAAGTTGTATCTTAGAAATACCATAACCTGAAAGGTTGAGAATTGAAGCTTGTTAGGGACGTGTAGCCAATTCCCACCCCATGAGCTTCTTTGTGGAGCATGGCTCTGTTCTGTGGTATGATTTTTTTGTTCCATTTTACTCATTCCCTTAGTGTCTTGTAACACTGGCCACCTTTCATGTTTATCTTCAAAGCTCTAAGGCTGTACCATCATCTGCCTTCTAGTTGCCTCTTTCAGAGGTCCTAAAGGCAGAATGTAAATCTAAATTAGCAGGACTGAGCCCTTTTCCTTATTCCTCCATACCTATTCTTTCTGTACACCCCCACTTTTTAAGCGAATTTCCCTATAATCTCCCAGCTCAACAGAAAACTGAACATTGCCTCAAACTCTTCCTTCCCGTTATTTATGTCCTGTACAACACCCAGCCACCAAGTTCTGTCTAGTCTATGTTTCTACCTCCCAAATCTACTTTGTTTTTTCCTTCATTGCCCTTCTTCCTTTTCCTCCTTCACCCTTTCCTGTTTTAATCTTTCATTCTTTTCTCTGTGACGTACAGTATTCTTGCATACAGAAAAAGACAAACCAGTTTCAACTTGAGGAAAAACCTACAGGTGTGAAAAGGAAGCAATGATTTAGATGATTGCATTGGTGAAAGAACAAGAGTACCAAACTTAACAACCATGAATCTGCAGATGCTTTCTGCTCCATACCAATATGGTGCCTAGAATAAGACACATAACACAGAGCTCAGTATATTGCGTTCAATAAAGGAAGCAAGAATAAAATACCTATTTACACAGGTGTCATTTAATCCTTTGGCTAAAATATGCCATCTACAGCCATTTAGCGGCTTGTATCAAAATCACCTAGGCAGTTTGCTTTTTAAAATGTAGTTTCTCAAGTGGCTGAGGTGGGAAGAATCCTCGGTCAATTTCAAGGCCAGCATGGAGTGCACAGCATGGTCTTGCCTCAAATAGACAGACAACAAACAAATTGTTTTTTAGACCCCCCAGGCCTGCTGGGTCAGGAGCTCCAGCTATTGTTGGAACTCAAATAATGGTTAGTACAAGTGGGAAAACTACTTGTTTAAGGTTTTTTCCCTCCAGTGAATTTTTAATTTGTCCAAAAGAGCTTAGAGAGTCACAAAGACTTATCAAAGTGTGCGAAGCCTACAGGTCAATGAAGAAATGTGTGTCCTCTTAGAACTATTTGAGATTTACAGTATTCATATTTTTAACATCAAGTATATTGCAATGCATATACTTTCTTTAAATGAACATTTTTATGAGGAAGACAACACTGCCTAAAACATGGTTGCTCTTAGCACCTTATGCAAGGAAGAAACTGTCAATGTCATCTTTTTCAATATGGCAGCCGCTAACCCTGCTTAACTTTTCAGTAATTCAAACATGGCTGAGCAGCTAAAGTTTAAAGGTTTAATTTTATTTTATCTTTATTCATTTGGATTTAAATTATGCATAACTATATCTTCCTAATACCTAGTGTATTAGAGAATAAAGCTACAAAATTCTTACCTAAACTGTGCTTCATTGGGGCAGTAAAAGGTAATATATTTTCTTTGTAGACCCTCCAAAGCATATGTGTTCAAAATGATTAAAATTAGCACTCATTCATCCATTAGCTATTACAAGAGATGGGCACTGAGAATCGAACAACCCTGACAATAATCCCTGATCAAAATGTAATATGTTAAACATACAGACAACTAAAGAACATATTTGCCTTATAAGTTACTATATTTTTATAGCCTCAACCAAGTTTTCACCATGTAGCCAACTGAAATTTAGTTAAAACAAAGTGTGTGTGTGTGTGTGTGTGTGTGTGTGTGTGTGTGTGTGTGTGTGTGTGTACCAAAGCATATATGGAATTATTTGATGGGACCTTGGTATAAAGTTAGATTTGTTCTTTATTAAAGAACAAATCTATATTTTCATTGCAAGTGAAAATATAGATATGATACATATAGATATATACATATATGTATATTACAATTGAGACTTTCCCACATCAAACTTTCTGCATTAATATTCAGCCAGTAAGTATTCATAATATCAGAAGCCCCCAGTATTTGACTAAGATCTTATTACAAAAGACAGCTACAGTCTTCATGTCAGATAATTGTCTTTAACGAAGTTTCAAAAACCTGTCTGACCTGCACAAAGACTGGAATTTGTTATTGTAGTAAATAAGGAGAACAGGTGCTCATTTTCCAGAGTGATCCAGGATTGTCAACATTAGTGGCCTCATTGTGGTTTTTCATAGCTATTTTCCAGTCTTCAGTGTTCACAGAGCTTTGAGTCCAAAAATAGGAAGAAGAAGAAGAAGAAGAAGAAGAAGAAGAAGAAGAAGAAGAAGAAGAAGAAGAAGAAGAAGAAAATTACTAGTGCAGATGTGATGTATTGTGCTCAATGTTTCTGTTTCAAAAGGAATGAGTTTCTGCAACACATTAAGCACACATGAACTTACACACATGACCATTGCTTACAAGGTCATATGAAAACTTGTAGAAAATTCATCCTGACAAACAAGCCGTGTTAAGACTTGTAGGGGATTTGAAATCGTTTGTAAGGATGGGATATTTGAGTTTAAGATGTTTCTAGAATCAAGTTGAAGTTTTGTGTCACTAGAGGCAACTTGCAGGAAATAGATGAATCTCCTTATTTTTAATGAGGCAAAGCTATATGACTGCTTTGAAGTCTCAGCAATAAGATGCAGAGGGGAAGGGAAATGGAGTCAAAGATGACTCCAGGGTCACAGACACAGAAAGAGAATAACAAGGCCAGGAAATAATCAAAAGTTTTATTGGTGATTTTCAGTTAAGGAGAGGAAAGCTGGAGAATGTGACAATTAGCTCTAATGTGACATTAGACAGATGGGGACTTCCACCTCTGTGGGCTATGACTCGCATCTAATTTGAGATATTATTAATAGACCTTTCTGTAACTCAGCGGAGATATCTAAAGAAAACAGAGGCAATTGGCAGAGTCACACAGCAAATGCAGGACAAATAGCATCTGAATTCAAATCTTTTCCTTTTAACAATCTTAAAAATTCTATTCTTCTTAGGTCACTAAGCTATTGATGGGACTATTGTCCCTTTAATCAATACATATAGGACCATGAGTATGAAGCAGTGTATAGATATTGCATCTAACAAAAGTGATTTAGGTTCAGTAAGTACTCTGAAATATGGATATCTGTACTCAAAGAGGTTTTCTTTAAATAATTTTCTCAGCAAATTTAATGTATAAATATGCAGATACTTTGTCTGCAAGATATACTATTTTATACTTATGAGAAACAATGAAATATCTATAGTTAAAAGTAATATCTAGTTGTTTCAAGGAAATAATAGACATTAAAAAGAATAAATTAGCATTTATATTTGAAAGTAATGATTTTGCTACCTAATTAAGGACTTCTTTGAATACAGATATCCATATTTTAAAGTATTAGCTGAATCTAAATTACTACACCCACCCCCACACACACACACACACACACACACACACACACACACACACACACACACACACGGGAATGTAGCCATCTGCTCGGAATTTAAAGGTTTGTATTTAATGAAGATATTCAAGTCCCTAATGACACGTGGACATGGGTTAAGAGGTGTCTATAATAGCTGTGTTTTAGATTTATAAGTAATGTGGATAAATCAATCATTCCAAAATTATAATCCAAATCTGTTCATTAGAAAGTAGGAAAGAACATGAGCTAGGAAGAGAAATTAGTTTATTTTCCCTAGTTAGCTACAAGTTTCTCAACTTTGAGTCAGTTAAGATACAGAATGAGACACAACCTTAACCTCGACATCTGGATTCTGACTCTTTTGATGATAGCTGCTTGAGAACCTACCACAGAAGACCTGTGTCTGTCAAGTGGGGCCATGAGGACTGTGGAGGTAACACAGCCCAGTGTATGACATATCCATTTCCATGGGGACATGGGGCAGCTGCCATAATTAGTGAACAGATTGGATGAAAGAGTTGTCAGGGTGCCATTCTCCTCTAGAAATAGACACACTGCCTATGTAGCATATGGCTGTCCTGTTTGGGGTGCAGCCTCAAACAGCAGGGTGGCGATACCATGGATACCACACCTCTTGCCTATATTTACACTTAACATGTTATTCCATTTTATTTGTTTGCTTAAGGAGGGGGCAAATATCATTTGCACTCTGGCTTTGGTAAATGAGTCGATTGTGTTTAAATAGTGGGAAGGATGGCATGCTATGTCCAAACGCATAACATAAACTCTGAGAGGAGAGAGAAGGGAGCTCTTCCAAGTGTCCAGACCTGCCTGACAGGTCCCAATATATTCTCTGAGCAACAAGACTGGGATTTGTCTATTGTCACATCTTCAAGACAGAGTTTCCGAAGCTTATCTAACCAAAAATATGCTTGTTTAGGGCTAAGACCACAGCAACAGTGCCCTTTGATGTGCATTCTAGATGGAGAAACAGGGATAAGAGCAGAGACCTATGGCCCTCTGGATGAGAGAGCCAAGAAACATCATTTGTTTTCAGAAAAGGGTCATTTTCTGACCTTCACCAAAGCCAAGCTTTTGCACTGACAGGAATTGGTCACAACAAGGGACAGGGTGGGTCTCTTATTGCAGACCACTAGGAGCCAACAGGAGGCAGTGAGAAGGCAGTAAAGAAGTCTAAGGACACAAGGAAGAATGAGGAATGAGAAGGTTGTGACCCTCTGTAGAAGAGAATCTACAAATTTGATTACTTCTTAAAGGGAGGAAAAGTGAAAAATGAAGGACAAGTAAATGTGTCCTGTATGCCTTAGGGTAAGACAGCCAATTGTTTTGTGTTAAACCTATTATCAGGTTTAAGAATCACAGAAGTAGCTGGCAAATGATGGATCCAGAGTGAATCAAGAGTGGTCTGAAACAGTCATCATTGGCATATTTTTAATTTTAAGAAAAAAATTAAAAACAGCCAAGACTATACTAAAATGTTTTTCTGCATAATGAAATAAATTAGCATTTACTTATATTTAGAGGTTCTGAATTTTAATAGTATGGCTATTGTGAGGTGAAAGGGCTGAGGTATCTAAAGTTTGATATTAAAACTTGAAACTCTCTGGGGCTGGAGAGACAATTCAGCTGTTAAGAACACTTGCTGCTCTTCCAAAGGGCCCAAAAGCAGATCAGAAACCTCATAACTACCTGTAACACCAGCTTCAGGGCTTTTGATGTCCTTCAGTGGCCTCCAGAGACCCTTGCACATAAGTGGAATACACACACAGTAATAATAATAATAATAATAATAATAATAATAATAATAATAATAATAATAATAATAATAATAATAATAATAATAATAATAATAATAATAATAATAATAATAATAATAATAATAATAATAATAATAATAATAATAATAATAATAATAATAATAATAATAATAACAAAATTTTAATTGGAATTTTCCCAGGGTGTCATGACAAAAGGAGAAATTATGGCCTTGGTACTAGCCTAGGGGAAACACATCTCCCAAAGGGACAGTGACCCTTTCAATAGAATACTTTGACACTGGTGAGTTAACCTATGGTGACATTCAACCATGATTTGGCAAATTAGACTTCAGATGAATGTTTGATTAAAATCCAGTTCAGCAGAGAAATTGCTTGCCTCACTGATGAACAAACAAGCAGGGTATTAATATAAACATTGGTGGAGCATTAAAAAGATCACAGTGACCCCAAATGGCACAGAATTTTTCATAGTGGAAATCAACCTTGTCTCTCAGACTTAAAGAGCCTATGAGAACAGCAGTGTATTGTCAAACTAGAGGGGATATCATGGTTTCCATAACCTGTCTACAAAATTTGGTATTGACCAGTAGAAAAAGACTAGACATTTTTAAATGATAGTATTCTACAGGGGAAAACCAAGAGGATTTTAGATAGCCCCGTATTGGGAAAGAGGGATGACTAAGGGCTCCCACTCACTTTAACTCCTGGAGAACCTAACAGAACCATCATGGTGGGAGAAGAAAAGGACGTTGGCTCAGCATTTACTGCAGGACTGAGTAGCCACTGTGTTCCTCATCATGCCCAGATTCTCAGGCTATGTCTGAAATGGAAGGGACATTACATGAATTGAGTCCATATCAGTCTGGGCAGACAGGCAACTGCCACGACTCATTCCCACATGAATATCAGAGCTGCTTGTTAAAGGTCACAGCTACTTCCTCCTACACAGGTTAATATATGACTAAACATATCATAGCCTGCAGCTGGTATTAACATAACTACGATCAATAAGTTGTGTCAAACAGCATTGGAAAGGGGCAGAATGAAACAGTAGAAGCCTGGGATTATCCCCTGCCATTATAACCTAAGTGACTTTTGCAAGCCTCGGCCTCCTCATCCAGAAAAGATGGTAATATAATTGCTCTCTAATAAGATTACCAAGGCGACTCAGCAGTTAACCGTGGATCCCGAATCCTGAGCGCAGAGCTTGGTATACTGTAAGCCCTCAGCATGTGTGTTATAGCTGTCAGCACCAGAATTAAGACACGTCTAGTCATGAAAAGAATGGCCTGCAAAACAAAGTGACTTTTAGTTGCAAGATGTGATTTTACATTTAAAATTTTTATTTTATTGGTGTGTGCCTGTGTGTGTGTGTGTGTGGCACCTCCATGTGACAAATGGAGGTCAGAAAACAGTTTTCAGGAGACGATTTTCTTCTTCCACAGTGGATTCTAGTATCAATTCCAGGTAGGTCTCCAAGTTTAGACTGAGTACTTTTAACAGCTGAGCCAAGACTGACTTTAAATATATTATTGAAAATTGCATGTACATGTTACTTTGGAAATTGGCATTTCTTGATTGGGTGGTCTGGCGTTGGTGGCACACACCTTTAATCCCAGCACTCAGGAGGCAGAGGCAGGTGGATCTCTGGGTATTCGAGACAAGCCTGATCTACAAAGTTAGTTCCAGGACAGCCTCCAAAGCCACAGAGAAACCCTGTCTCGAAAAACCAAAAAAAAAAAAAAAAAAAAAAAAGGTAGTAGAATGTATTTGAAACAAGCACCTTTCTCCTTACACCCTTAAACATATGCCGCCATGTCTCTGGAAAGCTCCCTCCCCTGAATCACACTAAAACAGCAAGAATGAAGCCAGCGCCAGCATCCTGCATCTGAGGGTGCAGAGACAATGAGCCGAGACAGACATGGGAAGGTGGCAAACACAAGTGAAAAGTGTAACAGCAACAGTTTTCTATGACTAGCACATCCTGTCAGTGTTTTCCAGGCATCCTGCCACATCTCCAAGCGCAAATGTCCCGAGGGAGTTTGGAGATTAAATTTTAAATCACTGTGTCCCGTCCATTTGAGGATGAAGGAGAGAATAAGGGAGAGAGAGGAGCGCAGGCAATGGTGTCTTGTTTAGTAGAGAATAGTCATAAGCATTTCAAAATATATAGTAATTTATTACTATTTTTTTTAGGACTGGAGAAACTTGCACAAAAAGGAAAATCGCTGTCCCCATTAGCGAGTATAACTGGAATATCGCTGTTTTTGATTATATCCATGTGTCTTCTTTTTCTATGGAAAAAATATCAACCTTACAAAGGTAGGTTAAAATTAGAAAAAATAATAATACATTTTTAAAAACGTTCCAAAACAATACCTTACTCTGTTTCCCCCTATCTTGTTTTTAGCTATAAGGCAGAAGCTAAGAAGCCGGTAATGTATATGTTTTTGTGACAATAACTTGAAATTTTTCCCCTTAATTGTAATTTTTGATTAATACATCTGTTTGTCTTTTCAGATCAGAGTCCGAATACAGAAAAGCTCAAACCTTTTCAGGTAATGAGCTGTCTAGAAAGCAGTGTTATCCATATTGATGTATAATAACTAATCATTGGCGTTTACGGGGGTATTTACAGTTGTCACTGTAATAGAATGACTAGAAGCTGAAGCTAGCACAGCCACAATCCCTACGTTGTTCGGTGTCTTCCCTTACAAAGCGCTACTTCCGTGGTGGCTTTATGTGAGTCACAGAGGTCTGTAGGATAAGCGAGGGAAAGACTCCAAATACTGACAGGGCAACTAAAGATCAGAGGAATGGAGGAGTTGAGTTCTGCTCATCCTCACTATCAGCCCTCTCATCGTTAGTCTGTAAGGGCGAAGGGAGCCTCTGTAGTTTCTGGAGGATTTACAATTCCGGCAGCCCCGTCCTAAGGAGAGGAGGACTTCTCCTTTGTCCTTGCTACCTTCACTGTTGACTCCGTACTGAGTTGTTCTAAGTGAACGATGGAGCTTATGCTGGGGTGATGGTGTCCCATATCTGTCACATTCCCCTTGGGAAAATTATTACTCTTGGCCTCATATTCCTCATGTATATAACAGGGGTAAAATTTTCCTCCTGGGGCCGCTATGAGAATTAAAATAAAATGATGTGAACAGCAGCACAATGTGACTTGTAATGAAAACAGAAAAGGGCTCCTCCTTTTATCTAGTCTTTGCTCTCTTACAGTAATTGGATGGCACAGAGGGGAAGGGTCCCAAGACCATCTGGCTCCTCCCAACCACCTCTACCCTCTTCATTTCCTAGATAAAGTTTGGGTAATGTCCCTATTGTGCTGAAGTGGGTTTAAGATTGTTGCTACTGTTATTAATCATTCTTTTCTAATGTCTCTGTTAGCTCTACCGAGGCATAGCAGATATTATGAGTGGGTCAAAGATTGCTGTGACCTCTAGGCTAAAGCCTGTGTACTTAAATCCCTCATCTTTTCCACATATGTGTATTTGAGTATGTAAAACAATATTCCCACTTCAGACATTGAGAATAATTAGTCAAGTTCAGTTACTTTTTTCCTCTTGAGAAGGACTTATTCCCAAAGCCATTCAATGCCAACGTGACCATATAAGACTAGGAAATATTAAATGGTTTCATGCAAATGCCACTTAAAGCAGACAATAAAGATAAGTTCTTTGGATATTCCTAAGAAACAAAAATAAATGCACGAATTTTTAAATATCGGAGGAGAGCATTGCTTTTGTAAGTAGTGTCATTTTTCCTTTCAGGCCATGAAGATGCTCTGGGTGACTTCGGAATATACGAATTTGTGACTTTTCCAGATGCGTCTGGTGTTCCCAGGGTTGGTTTTCCTAGTGGCTGATTAACCAAGAATTCTGCTTTCCCAGAGGTGTAAGCAGCGTTCATTTAAGACAGAGGGCAGTGATGTCCAGTGGTTTCACTGGCCCTCACTGCATTCCACAGCACTGACTTTCGGTATACTGAGCTTTGTGGAGTGAAGGCATTTTTCTCACTTTTCTTCTCTTATAGAGATAACAGAGCTGACACAAAGAAGGAAGTTACACTAATTAATAAACACTCCTTACCTGATATATTCCATGAATAAAGAAGTAACTAGTTTGAATATAGAGAGGAAAGAAGAAAAGGAGATCAGGAGTCCCTGGCTTAAATTACTCCATGTTGTTTCAGTGGCCTCAGCCCTTAACTTCACAGAACTCACTCTATTCCCCAGTTTTCTTCCTTTCCACCCCATAACTCTCAATAACTTCTCAAAGATATTCGATCACATCCTTGAAGTTACTTGCTTATCATAAGGGAATTATCATGTAGTAAAAAGCAAATAACATACAGGTATATATCTCTATTATTACCCTAAAGGAGCAATCATTTTAAAAGGCAGAGCATTTTACAGTAGAAACCATTTGTTTTCCATCTTTAAAAAGTTGCAAATGATCAGTTTCATGCAGAGTGTGTCCCTGAATTATTACCTCATGAGCTCTCATAGATTTGTAAAATAATAGTTTTTCCTCTGTCTCCTTATTCCCCTATAATAGTCCACTTGGATGGAACAAAAAATGGATTGCTTGCTTCTGGGTGTTCTTTCTTCCATTTATTAGAAAAGAACTGTTTGCTATTAGGAAACAGTCCCTTTGTTCTAAGCATTCTATCACCCTGTGTACTTCATCCAGTGAGTTTCCGGGCTACAGACTTTATTTCAGACATGTCCTGTGAGTAATGGAGAGGAGTTGATTGGATTTCATCCTCCTGGAGGGTGAGTCAGTAGCACCCATATTGTCACTGATGAAGAGGAGACACACCTGACAAAGGCTTTGCAGTGCCCTATTCAATCTTAGACAGGATTGTTTCCCTCTTAGAGTCTACAAGCAAAAAGACAAAATAAATAGGTGGTTGATCTGTTAACTAAAAGAACCTCCAAAGTGCCATAAAACCCCCTTCTAAGGTGTCTCTTCAAAGAGTAGAGCATGGGAATGAAGAACTAAAAAGAACATGCTGAATTTTGAGATAGTTTCTTTGTTTAAAAATGCACACATTTTATTCCACTCCCACTCATTATAAAGGAGTGGGAGTTATATAAGAAGTTTGCCCTTGCCCAGGTGATTAATCTCTACACAGGGTATTATTTGAAGCCTCTTCTGGCTCCAAGGACTATAGTGTCCAGGAATTTGAAACAGAGACATGTGCCCTTGAGTTCCATCTCAGAAGCTTGGCTTAGTTCTGTAACACACAGCATAACTTGATTTGGAACCATGCTCATATCAAATGAGAAAACTCTAAGAATTTTGCTGACATTCTTAATTGGCCATGCCAGGTGTTTTGGGGATGAAGTGAGAAGTTAAAACAACTAAAGGAAAGTGAGGACCATGGTATTGGGTGACGGGTCTGAGTGAGAAGCCAGTTTGGCGTTTACTTGGGAAGACTGGTAGCCCAAGGCAATGAACTTGAGATAAAAAAAAATTAATAAAAAGAAAAACATCTTAAAGTTGTCAATAAGAAGGGAAATACATTTAATTGTTAATTTATTTGGATCTTAAAAATCAAAACAACCTCTTTGGTTATTGTAGTAAGATAGATCGCTTCTCTCTTTGCCTGTTGGACAATTCATTATCCATTGAGCATTTCTTCTAGCAGTTGGACAGAAGACAAAACGCGTAAAATTAACAAATGTGTTAGTATTCAATAGTTCTAATATTGCATCATATATGTTAACATACATCTACCATAGCCCCTGGCCATCTTCTTGCCAAGGAAAATGAAGTCAATCTCAATTATAAATTCTATCAAAATCTCAACATAAAATGATTAGAGAACTCATGGCTCATGGCCATAGGGCTTCCCCAGAGAGGGATGAAAACAGGTTCCAAAACTACATAAAACTAAGGCGTCCCAGTCCATCTCAGCAGGTCAAATTGGAAAATGAAAGCAAGCCTAGACTTACCCAAGGTAAACACTTCCTAGGGGTGCTGTGTAAATATGAAGAACTGAAGGTAGGTAACAGTGCCATTAAATTGGGAGCTGAGCAGGAAGGAAGACCAGACTGGCAATACACCAGAAGACAATGTTTATAGAAAGAAAATAGTTATAAAATATGAGGATTGTGAGGAAAACACATAAAATGCAACATATGATGATTTTGACTACATAAATACACTACATTCTTTTCATGCTCAGCCACGCCTTTAGTTTCCAGAGCCATTACCATAGCATTAAAACTAAAGCATCACTTTAGTCTTTTGTCTTCTTACTGACTTGCAATATGACGAGGACATATTATTCACATTATTCTTTCTGTCAAGCCACCCTTGCACATGTGATTGGCAAAAAGTGTCCAAAAGAGCAATTAAGATATTGTAACAGTCATATGTGCTCTCTGGTTCTAAGCTGTCAAGCTGTTTCTTTTTGTTTTCTTTTGTTTTGAATCTCTGTTTTTGCTACTTTTCTTTTTTTCTGTACAATATTTCCAGTTTTTTCCTTAAGTAATGAAAAAAGTGGTAGGATTGCCAAGCTATTCCTGAAAGAAAAAAAACAACATAACACGGATGCAGGAAACTGTAGCAAGGAGGAGGTCGCATTCCTGAGGTGGTTAACATCCATCCATCTAGTCCGTCATCTTCAAGCTACAGCATGTTTCCAGATAATCTTGGGCTAAGTTTTCTCTTTCAATGTACTATGTTTTCTAGATGCCAACTAGGTCTGCCCCAGCCTCTGATGGTGTGACAGGGCATGATTTTCTTGGAACCATTTATGAAGTTATTCAGCACATCCCTGCCCAACAACAAGTCAATCGAGAGTGAGTATGAACCTGCATTGGGTGGGTGCGATGGAGGATCTCTCAGGTCACCTTTTGCTTTCCTGAAGATTTATTAGAAGCCCCCCAAAACACTAAAACAGGAGGCCCTCGATACAAAGCATGTGAAATTCTTCAAGATACATCCTCTTTTAAAAACAATTTTGAAAAATGAAACAGGCAAGTATAGAAATATCACCTAGAGCCATGCTCATGGACAGATAGGTAGAATTGCCTGTCTGCTGCATACGTTTCTTTTTTCCAGTGTGTCTCTGAGGAATCTACATCTGGGTATGAAAGGCTGGGTCAGGCCAGTGCTGAAGCCATCTTAGTTATCTTCAAGACTTGGCAATGGCCATGGTCATTTTATAGCTGCAATGCTCTGTCACTAACGATAACACTGGCAAAGGCTTCCAGGGGAGAGTGGCCCGGTCACATCAAAGGCCCAGCGTCTTTCCATTCAAGGCTGACTATTTCCATGTGCATAAGACAGGACAAAACCTGTGTTGAGAGTAAAGACAGCAAACCACTTACCTTACCAGACGACCTGTCTCTTCTCTGCCACAGAGGAGTTAAGCCCACAGTCTTTTGAAATAATAAGATCGACTTCTGCTTATGTGTATGTAGTAGCCTGCAGGCCTAACTGCCGCAAATTGTCTTCCACCCTTTCTTTAGCCGTCATTTGTTGACTTTGAAAATAACATCAATAACCACACACAGGAACTTCCCCTATGGCAAATGGAATAGTTCCAACAACATAATTCCTGCTCGCTTCTGGGTGAATATTAAAAATAACAGCTAAGAGTACATGAGTGTTGTGAAAACCATCTGATGGGGGCAAGAACCCACACATGGGGACAATGAAGTTGTTTTAGAACTATATATGTGACAAGAAACATCAGAGAACCCCATCAGAGTATATGCACATGAATTTCTGGCTTGACATTAAAAAAAAAGTTTTGGTTTGAAGCAATATATTGCTAGCACTACAATTCAGGAAGGAGGCACAATACCATGGTTCTTGAAAAATAAAACACTGAAATGATACCTGTCCCTCTTTCTTTCTGGAACAGGAAGTGAGGGACTGTTTTGTTTCTATACTTTTCTGTTTTGATTGATAAATATTAGTTGTCCATAGTTATGAGGAACAATGTAACTAATGTTTTGGCCCATGTATACACGGATTAATGATCAAATCTGGTTAATTACCATATCTATTATCAGAACTCTTGAGATCATGTCTGCTTTCTAATACTGAATCCAGTAAAATTAACAAATAAATAAACATAAAACTTATCCTGGAGCTAGGGGGAATGATTCAGTTTGTGAAGAGGTCGTCATGGAAGTGTGGGGGCCTGAGTTTGGATCCCAGAACCCACACAGAAAGCCTGGTAGAGCAGCAACCACCCAGAGCCACAGGGATGCAGACCAGAGACAAGAAAGACCCAGGAGTTTATTAGCCAGTCAGTTTACCCCAGCTTCAGGGAGACCTTGTCTCAATTAAAGAAAGAAAAAAAGAAAGGAAGAAAGAAAGAAAGAAAGAAAGAAAGAAAGAAAGAAAGAAAGAAAGGAAGAAAGAGGAGAAGCAGTTGAGGAAGACACCTGATGGTGACCTTTCCACTTGCAAACACACATACATATATTCATACAAACACACTCACACACACACACACACACACACACACACACACACACACACACCTGTGCACATGTAATTCAGCCACTTGTGCATGTGCACACACAGGAACACATCACATTTATACATCAAATACATACACATACACACATAAAATTTTTAAGATAATTTTCAAATCTCTCCTATTTAAACTCACTTGTTTTTCTACACACCTTGTATTCTAAATATCTAATTTTACACTAGCATGCTAACAAACCAATGGAGACTCAAGGTTTGTCTTTTGAGAAAGTCTCCCAACAATGAAATAAATACAAAGTTGTGAATATAGCAGGTACAACTTCAGTAGACAAAATAAAGTAAATGAGTTATTTTTGCATCTCAACAAACTAATTTCTTGAAAAAACAGTTTAAAAAAAATCATTCTATGTAAATAGTTGCCTATCTAAAATGAGAAAATCCTCAGAAATCCTTGACCTAATAAACGTTTATTTCAGAAACAATTTCTGATGGTTGAAAACAAAGCAGAAACCTTTTCTTAAGCAAAGAACCAATTTAAATTGCCACTGGGGACATGTAGCTTGAACAGGCAATCACCCCAGAACATTAGATCCCACCCCACTCCAATCCTAGAGCGCCTTCCACACTGCTGCCCAGACCCACAACCCTGCTCAGGAATCCCCTCATAGTCCCCTGTCATGAGAGACCTGCTCATTTGTTTTGTTTCTCTGTGTGTCCTCCTATGTCGTTCTCTCTCCTTGACCTTTGACTCTGCCCCTCTTTCTCTAAGACATTACCTGTCCCCCATACACAATTCCTTTTTAAAGGGTGTGAATGAACAAAAACAGCATCTCTTTTATGTTTCCCCTTCTAACTCATTCAATCAAGAAGCCAACATTTCAAAACTTTTGTTTTCTTTTTAGCACAGATTTATGCTACCTATCCTAAATTTTAAAAACAAATAGGGCCAGGTGGTGGTGGTCCATGCCTTTAATCCCAGCACTGGGGAGGCAGAGGCAGGCAGATCTCTGTGAATTGGAGACCAGCCTGGTCTACAAGAGCTAGCTCCAGGTCAGTGCTAGATGTCCTCTGGCTTGAGTTTGTGCAGGGACTGCCCATGTTGTCAAAGACTCTATAAGTTCTTCTGTGCATCACCTGGAAGATGCTGTTTTCTTGACAGCATCCATCACCAAGTGGAAGCTTCTCTGATTAGAGTTGAACAATGTTCTGGCTTGTGGATATAGTGGTATATCATTAGGATTTATTTTATTGCTATGTTCCTTTAGCAGTAGTTGGTTTTCCTGAAGGCCCATCACCTGTCTACTCTCAGGTTCTCGGCTGCTTTAGCAGTGTCAGGTAAGGCTTTTGTCTCATGTAGTGGACCTTAAAGCCAATCAAAATGTGGTTGGTTATTCCCATGGTTATCTTGAAAACTAGAAATTTAGATAATTAAACCTTGAATTCCAAAAGTAATTATCTACAAAACAATAGTTACCCTTTATACTATTGATTGATAAATATAGTTTTCTTGAATTGGCTCAAAACACTCATGTTAGTCATCTTTACAACTGTGGAAAGGAGTTAAAGTGGTTAAGGTTTTTTTTTTCCCATAAGCTTAGAAATCTACAGAGCACTTAACATATTTCATGTCTCTCTCCACCAGGTGAGATTCCATGGGCAAAATGGTACATTGGAATGGAATAATGAAGGGACATTTTGAGAGAAAATATCTGGAATCTGTGAAGAAATAAAACCCCAGCACCCCTCAGTCATACTTCTAAAAGCAGAGTAGACACCTGTGCCAACTGAATGGCAGGTTTTCCGACACACATGCAAAGGGCTGTGTGACAGAGGAACATGGTGGGACTATTCCTGCTTATCAGTCAAACTGGGAGGAAGAAGACAATGAAGCTCCAGTTACTCTGTATGTGAGGGCTTTCAAGCATCCCAGTTAGTGCTCACCTATGCTCATCCCAGTTAGTGCTCACCTATGCTTATCCCTGTTAGTGCTCACCTATGCTCATCCCTGTTAGTGCTCACCTATGCTTATCCCAGTTAGTGCTCAGTGCTCATCCTTGTTAGTGCTCACCTATGCTCCACTTTCGTCAATGCTGATGCTGCCCTGTGGCTCCTATGAACTCAGAGACTTTACCTTTGTAAATGTTTGTGGTAAGCTTTGTTTTGTTCAATGCTCATTACTTTTATGATAGTAAAACCCCCTTTTTTTGGTCCCAAATTGATTTCTTGTTATTTGTGTCACAAAAAAATTAAGGATGCTTAACACAAAAGTAAGTCTTTGCCTTCACCCTGGTTGTCAGTGAACTTTGTTATCAATGATGTTTTTGAAAGGTCTGTGAAAATGTTTAATGAAATGGCTTGGTAAAGTCTCATTTTCATTTTTGTTCAAAGAAAGAATAAATTGAAATAAATTATTCTGCTTTGCTTTTACATAACCTTGATTCTTTAGATTGTAAGGTCTTACTTTAAAGTCAGATTGAAGAGTAAAGATGTTTTATTCTTATTTTCCATTGTGCAAATAAAATGGACATTATGGAAAATTATTAAAAATCAAAACCTATTCTCTCATGGTTGGCTACTTTATGCAGAAAAATACATTTAATAGAGTTCCCTTTTTAAAAAATATTTGACGTGAACCACGATGCTTATCTTGTCCTTTATTTTCTTGAAGGCATAGGGTGAAAATAAAATCAGAACTGAATCTCACAGCTCCTTGCTGTCTTCTGGCTCTGCCACATTTACAGATGTTTCTGATGAAAAAGTCAATTCTGCTACCACAAACACTGTCTTCTGTACTTAGCAAAAACATGAACTACTCTATCTGACTTAAAAAATGAATTCATGGTCACCATAAACATATGCATACATCTGGCTATGCAGAACACTGGCTCTCACACAATTAAAACCCCGGTCTTGCCTTCCAGAAATAACATCTCAGAATTTCCTTACATTATTCATATATGTAATCATATATGAATAAAAGACCCAGAAAAGGTTTCTAATAGCTCAAATAAATAAATGTACAGATTACGAGGTCCATTATAACTCAAAAATAATGTTGTGAAGAAAGACAGATGAGAGATATGACCAGAGGCAAAGTAAAAGCAGAAGTGAGGTTATAACCGGTGTGCCGAATTCCCCTTCTTATGTGAGTATTGCTTTATGCCACCAAAATCAAGAGACAAACGCAGGTGTGTCTCTCATGACGGCCATCTCAGTTACCCATGATTTGTTAAGTGCTGGGGGCAGCTGTCCATATTTGCAGTGAGTTGACAGCAGTCAGTCTCAGCTCTAGCCACCTCTGCCCCGCCCCCTTTCTCAGTCTCCGGCCTCCCCTTCCTCCAGGGTGGGGGTGG